AAGACAATATTAACCATCCCAGTATATATAATATAATAGTAACCGTCCCAGTATACATAATATAATATAATAGTAACCTTCCCAGTATATATAATATAATATAATATTAACCTTCTCTGCATATAATATATTAACCTTCCCAGTATACATAATACAATATTAACCATCCCAGTATATATAATATAATATTAACCTTCTCTGCATATAATATATTAACCTTCCCAGTATATATAATATAATAGTAACCTTCCCTATATATTATATAATATAATATTAACCTTCTCTGCATATAATATATTAACCTTCCCTGTATATATAATATAATAGTAACCTTCCCTGTATATATAATATAATAGTAACCGTCCCTGAATATATAATATAATATTAACCTTCCCTGTATATATAATATAATAGTAACCTTCCCTGTATATATAATATAATAGTAACCGTCCCAGTATATATAATATTAACCTTCCCTGTATATATAATATAATATTAACCTTCCCAGTGTATATAATATAATAGTAACCGTCCCAGTATATATAATATTAACCTTCCCAGTATATATAATATAATAGTAACCGTCCCAGTATATATAATATTAACCTTCCCTGTATATATAATATAATATTAACCTTCCCAGTATATATAAAATAATATTAACCTTCCCAGTATATATAATATAATAGTAACCGTCCCAGTATATATAATATAATAGTAACCGTCCCAGTATATATAATATAATATTAACCTTCTCTGCATATAATATATTAACCTTCCCTGTATATATAATATATTAAGCTTCCCTGTATATAATATAATATTAACCTTCCCAGTATATATAATATTAACCTTCCCTGTATATATAATATAATATTAACCTTCTCTGCATATAATATAATATTAACCTTCCCTGTATATATAATATAATAGTAACCGTCCCAGTATATATAATATAATATTAACCTTCTCTGCATATAATATATTAACCTTCCCTGTATATATAATATATTAAGCTTCCCTGTATATAATATAATATTAACCTTCCCAGTATATATAATATAATATTAACCTTCCCTGTATATATAATATAATATTAACCTTCTCTGCATATAATATAATATTAACCTTCCCTATATATATAATATAATATTAACCTTCCCAGTATATATAAAATAATATTAACCTTCCCAGTATATATAATATAATAGTAACCGTCCCAGTATATATAATATAATAGTAACCGTCCCAGTATATATAATATAATATTAACCTTCTCTGCATATAATATATTAACCTTCCCTCTATATATAATATATTAAGCTTCCCTGTATATAATATAATATTAACCTTCCCAGTATATATAATATAAACCTTCCCTGTATATATAATATAATATTAACCTTCTCTGCATATAATATAATATTAACCTTCCCAGTATATATAATATTAACCTTCCCTGTATATATAATATAATATTAACCTTCTCTGCATATAATATAATATTAACCTTCCCAGTATATACAATATAATAGTAACCTTCCCTGTATATATAATATAATATTAACCTTCTCTGTATATAATATATTAACCTTCCCAGTATATATAATATAATAGTAACCTTCCCTGTATATATAATATAATATTAACCTTCTCTGCATATAATATATTAACCTTCCCAGTATATATAATGTAATAGTAACCGTCCCTGTATATATAATATAATAGTAACCTTCCCTGTATATATAATATAATATTAACCGTCCCAGTATATATAATATAATAGTAACCTTCCCTGTATATATAATATAATATTAACCTTCTCTGTATATAATATATTAACCTTCCCTGTATATATAATATAATATTAACCGTCCCAGTATATATAATATAATATTAACCTTCTCTGCATATAATATAATAGTAACCGTCCCTGTATATATAATATAATATAAACCTTCTCTGCATATAATAGTAACCGTCCCTGTATATATAATATTATAGTAACTGTCCCTGTATATATAATATTTACCTTCCCTGTGTATAACATAACAGTAACCTTCTCTGCATATAATATAATATTAACCTTCCCTGTATATATAATATAATAGTAACCTTCCCAGTATATATAATATAATATTAACCTTCCCTGTATATAATATTAACCTTCTCTGCATATAATATTTTAACCTTCCCTGTATATATAATATAATAGTAACCTTCCCTGTATATATAATATAATATTAACCTTCCCTGTATATAATATAATAGTAACCTTCTCTGCATATTATATAATATTAACCTTCCCTGTATATATAATATAATAGTAACCTTCCCAGCATATATAATATAATATTAACCTTCCCTGTATATAATATTAACCTTCTCTGCATATAATATTTTAACCTTCCCTGTATATATAATATAATAGTAACCTTCCCTGTATATATAATATAATATTAACCTTCCCAGTATATATAATATAATAGTAACCGTCCCAGTATACATAATATAATAGTAACCTTCCCAGTATATATAATATAATATAATATTAACCTTCCCAGTATACATAATACAATATTAACCATCCCAGTATATATAATATAATAGTAACCTTCTCTGCATATAATATATTAACCTTCCCAGTATATATAATATAATAGTAACCTTCCCTATATATAATATAATATTATATAATATTAACCTTCTCTGCATATAATATATTAACCTTCCCTGTATATATAATATAATATTAACCGTCCCAGTATATATAATAGTAACCTTCCCTGTATATATAATATAATATTAACCTTCCCTGTGTATATAATATAATATTAACCTTATCTGCATATTATATATTAACCTTCCCTGTATATATAATATAATAGTAACCTTCCCTGTATATATAATATAATATTAACCGTCCCAGTATATATAATATTAACCTTCCCTGTATATATAATATAATATTAACCTTCCCAGTATATATAATATAATAGTAACCATCCCAGTATATATAATATAATAGTAACCGTCCCTGTATATATAATAGTAACCGTCCCAGTATATATAAAATAATAGTAACCGTCCCAGTATTTATAAGATAATATTAACCTTCTCTGCATAATATATTAACCTTCCCAGTATTTATAATATAATATTAACCGTCCCAGTATATATAAAATAATAGTAACCGTCCCAGTATATATAAAATAATAGTAACCGTCCCAGTATTTATAATATAATATTAACCTTCTCTGCATAATATATTAACCTTCCCAGTATTTATAATATAATATTAACCTTCCGCTGGAAAGACACTATCAGACCCAGCAGGCTGGGTATACAAGGTGTTAAATAGTAGCCAGGCTCAATTTTTAGCTGATGTAACCCGAATCCCCAGTCTGCAGGGGGGCCGTGTGGCAATGATGACACTGGGAAGAATCAGAATTATTACATATATCCTGATTATAATGGTGAAAAGTCATCAAATTATTGCTACATAGTCATTTATTGTGCATTTAGCACCCCCTAGCGTCCAAGTGAGCAAATAGCACTGCAGTGTCAGCTTGGTGGTGTGTATCACCTGCAGCTCAGTAATGAATAATCTGACAGTTTACCAACACCCAAATACTGCAACACCCCAACATCCTAAAACCCGAATACCCCACCATTCCAACACCGACCACCCAAACACCCCAACATCCAACCACCCGAACACCCCACCATTCTAACATCTGACCACCCGAATACCCCACCATTCCAACATCCGACCACCCAAACACCCCAACATCCAACCACCCGAGCCCCCCACCATTCCAACATCCGAACACCCCACCATTCCAACATCCGAACACCCCACCATTCTAACATCCGACCACCCGAATACCCCACTATTCCAACATCCGAGCACCCGAACAACCCACCATTCTAACATCCGACCATCCGAACACTCCAACATCCAACCACCCCACCATTCTAACATCTGACCACCCGAATACCCCACCATTCCAACATCTGACCACCCGAACACCCCACCATTTCAACATCCGACCACCCGAACACCCCACCATTTCAACATCCTAACACCCGAACACCCCACCATTCCAACATCTGACCATCCTAACACCCGAACACCTCACCATTCTAACATCCGACCACCCGAACACCCCAATGCCCTAACTGGCTGTCTGGCTTTCATGGGATGTGTTAGAACATAAATGGGGTGAGCTAATCGGTTGCTTAGAATTGTACAGACCGGTCAGACTAACATCAGAACTGAAAGATCTAGAAGTAATATTCCCATGATGCTTGGCCAACCATAAGCAATTGTAAACTACATTTCCCATGATTGACTTTTCTAAAATCTGGCTCCCAGTAAGCAGTACGTGTCGTTTAATTTGGCAGACAAACAGCGATGTTATTAATTAATCACTAAATAGGACGGAAAGTGTGAATTCTCCTGTTAGTGCCGCCCGACACAAATATTTAACCCTTGAAAAGAGAATTCAATGCACTAATTCCTATCGTGTTAACTGGATCTCACAAATTCGAGCGTCTGGGTCCTGGTTCCCTTTAATCTGTCCCTAATAAAGGGAGTGGAGGACTGAAGGGAATATACCATTGTACAGCGCTGCGGAATTTGTTGGCGCATTATAAATAATAAGAATATAGTCCTGGGAAACTAATTGTTATTTTTGAGATTATAAATTCCCTTTAATCTGTCCCTTAATGGAATCAGAGAGCCAGTGCATAGCTGGCTCCCAGCGCCCCCTGGTGGTCCTACAGAGGCCAAACAGAGAACATATACAGTATTAGGATGGAATTAAATATCAAAGGGTATTTTCAAGCTTTGTAGTTTTTTTTATTCATGTGCACAGAGCATCGCAAGTGTCTTATTTATACATACATCTCCCCCCCCCCCCGCAACCTCAAAGGCTTCTCCTTCATGTGCACAGAACTCCCTACAGACCACGTGTGTCTTATTAACATGCACACAGCTCCTTACACCTCACATTTTACGGACACTCAAATCAGTGCACACACACACTGCACGTACACACATTATACACAGCAGGCTTACTCACATTATATACAGTGCGCATACACACATTATACAAAGCGCGCGCACACATACATACACACATTATACACAGCGCACACACACACCAAGCGTACACATATTATACACAGCGAACATAAACACATTATACACAGCGGGTTTACTCACATTATATACAGTGTGCATACACACATTATACAAAGCGCGCGCGCGCGCGCACACATACATACACACATTATACACAGCGCACACACACACCGAGCGTACACATATTATACACAGCGAACATAAACACATTATACACAGCGGGTTTATTCACATTATATACAGTGCGCATACACAGCTCACGCACACACATTATACAAAGTGTGCATACACACATTATCAGGACCCGTACACACAATATAGACAGCACACATACTCTGTGCACATATCCACTTTATACACAGTGCTTATACATGTTATATATAGCGCACACACACATTATATGCATCGCAGACACATACACAGCGTGCATACACACATTATACCCAGCGCAGACACATACACAGCGTGCATACACACATTATACCTAGCGCAGACACATACACAGCGTGCATACACACATTACATATAGTGCGCATACACACATTATATATAGTGCTCGTACACACATTATATATAGTGCGATAAACAAATTATATATAGTGCGCGTACACACATTATACACAGTGCCGTACACACATTATATATAGTTCCGCGCACACACCTGGTGCTGGAGAAAGGTAAGTGCTGAAGGGGTTTTAACCACACACACACACTCTCACGAACAGATGCATACACACTAGCTAACAGACACACACATTAACTGACTGACACACACTCATTTACAGACACCAAAAAGACTCACTAACAGACCCATACAAACTAAAGCACTAAATAACAGACACACACACACATTTTTTTTTTTTAATTTAATCATCCCCCAGCCTCCCTACCTTTGCTTTCCCTGGGGTCCAGTGGGGCTGCTGGGCCCCCTCTAGGTGTCTCTCTCCCAAGTCCTGATCTGTCTCTTTTGTCCCTTCCACAGTCCCTCTGTGCAGTGTTAATTTTGGCTGCAAATTTCAATTTATTTTTAGTCATAGTCTTTTGACTAGAATGTCATTTTAGTTTTAGTCATCTGAATTGTTTTAGTTTTAGTTGACTAAAATTTGATTAAAATTGTTAGTCGACAAAATTAACACTGCTGTGCATACACATTATACATAGGGTGCATACACACAGCCACTATTGCTTACAATGTCACCATAGTCCACACTGCCACTATAGCTGCAACTATAACCTACACCAGGCTTCCCCAAACTCCCTCCCTCCAGATGTTGCTGAACTATGAATGAAATAGATAGGCTGAGAATCATGGGAGTTGTAGTTCAGCAACATCTGGAGGGTCGTAGTTTTGGGAAGCTTGATCTACACTGTCACTGTAGCGCTCTTTTAGAAATGAGACGTGTCTGTCAGTAATAATTGCTCGTGCTTGGTCTCTGTGTCTGTCCTGTACAGTGTGTTTATGATCCTATCTCTCTGCACGTCCTCTTTGTTGCTATGCAGCCATTTTGTCTTTGAGGAGTAATGTTTTCGTTCTTATTAAGTCAGTCTGTTCCTGTTAAACACTAAGCAGTTCTGTCATATTTCGCAATGACCCCAATGGTGACTTTGCTGTTTGCAGTGAGGACGCTTCGGTGTGCAGAGAAAGTTTGATTTACCTGATCCTGTCCCTTGTGGCTACCGCCATGATCTTCCTGCTGGTCGTCTCCGGGTAAATTATTAATGTATGGCGCAGTACGTGACTTCGGTCTCCAAAGGGTAAAATGTCAGTAATAAAGGGCCATTTCAGATTTTAGTTATAAATAGCCAAACTGGAATTCCCTGAGCCAGGCTGGCTTTTGTGGACAAAAAATTTAAATCACTGAATTCCTAACAAAACTTTAGTGATTCACTCCGGCAACATGTTATTTTTTAAAACCCACCAGGAATCATGGGGGAATAAAATAAAATTGCAAATTTTAGGCTAAAATGAAGAAACTGAAAAATAAATCTCCCATCCCTAGTCCTGGTTAAAAATAAATCTCCCATCTCTAGTCCTGATTAAAAATAAATCTCTGATCACTCCGATCCCTAGTCCTGGTTAAATATAAATCTCCCATCCCTCTGATCCCTAGCCCTGGTTAAAAATAAATCTCCCATCCCTAGTGCTGGTTAAAAATAAATCTCTGATCCCTAGTCCTGGTTAAAAATAAATATCCGATCCCTAGTCCTGGTTAAAAACAAATCTCAGATCCCTAGTCCTGGTTAAAAACAAATCTCAGATCCCTAGTCCATGTTAAAAATAAATCTCCGATCTCTAGTCCTGGTTAAAAATAAATCTCTGATGCCTAGTCCTGGCTAAAAATAAATCTCCCATCCCTCCAATCCCTAGGCCTGGTTAAAAATAAATCTCCCATCTCTAGTCCTGGTTAAAAATAAAGCTCCGATTCCTAGTCAAAAATAAATCTCCCATCCCTCCGTTCCCTAGTCCTAGTTAAAAAGAAATCTCCCACCCCTCTGATCCCTAGCCCTGGTTAAAAATAAATCTCCCATCTCTAGTCCTGGTTAAAAGTAAATCTCTGATTCCTAGTCCTAGTTAAAAATAAAGCTATGATCCCTATCCCTGGTTAAAAATAAATCTCCCATCCCTAGTCCTGGTTAAAAATAAATCTCCAATCCCTAGTCCTGGTTAAAAATAAATCTGCGATTCCTAGTCCTGGTAGAATCATCATACTTTAGTCCACTTGGAAAAAGCTGTTTCAGTTCGGTTATCTCTGTGTAAAGCTGGAAATGGACTTTGGAGTTTATTGACTTTTCGCAAACTCAGAATTGTTAAAATGGCCGCAGCGACACAGAAAGCTTTTTTTTGGCCATCTGGCTGGGGACGCTCTCCCAGATTGCCCCCAGAAGGGCCATGGTATACAGCACGGCCATACGTCAATGCGGCTAAACATTCAGGGTTAGGAATTACAGAAAGTGGACATGGAATAGAAACAGAAACATAACTGGCTTTAAGAATTCTCCAATTCTAGTCAATTCTCCGCAACTTACAGTTTAGTGGATAAACCCCAGTAATCATCTAACGGCCCCTCTGATTATTACTCTGTAACTTACAGATTGTTACAGGTAAGGCCCGACTCATTCTGTGTCTTCTCTTTAATTTAATAACTAGTTATCGCCTGCATCCCGGCATTCTGCGATACAGCCTCCCAACTAGCGCGCACGCAGTCTGCACATCCAGGGATGCAATTAGAAAACCAAACGCTTAGATTTTATATTGAAACCTCAGTAAATAACTCGTTAGTGTACGAGAAGCAGGGCTGGAAATCTCCACAGCTGCCTCCCTCTTCCCCTCAAAAAACAGAAGCAAACTGAAAAATGAATGATATTATTGAATATTTATTAGTCTACACAAGCAGAGCAGCCAGTGTGAGGGGCTGGCTGGAAAACGCATGATGGAAGCAATCTGCAGGGGAAAGAAAGAGGATTATTGGCTACATTCAGAGTCAAACTGAACCCCGAGAACGACCAGAGAACCGGGGGTGCAGGGCCAGCGAGAACAAGGGTCCCCGGGGCTGACATCATGTAATGACATGACCTGAAATGGAAGCTTTGATACATAGAACATGTACGGATCAAGGGATCCCTGAATGAGGTAATGACAGGCAAATCTTACTCCCTCCACCATACTTCAACGGCTTAGATCCAGGGATTCACAGCGCAAAATAAGGGAGTTATTTACTAAAAAAACGTGAACTGGTAGCAATAAAACATCAACATTTTAGGCCTAATTAGTTAAGCTGAAAAAACTGTCCAAATCAACTAAGTTTCTAGTTGACCTAAAATTTGACTGGGCAATTCACTAAGGCGAGAGTTCCAAGTAAATTTCAAATCAAAATAGCGGAACCTGAAAATGTCTCTAAGTCAGCTGTGTTTCCAGTGCGGCCACTTTGGCCTTAAATTTGAAATTCACTATAAACTCACTTTTGTGAATAAGCCTTTTAATGTCCCTTTGAAATCCTAACACTTCACACTGATTAACCCTGAAAGTGCCTGACTGTGGCTAACGAAGCAGTTCTAGTGTCAAAGGCAGCAAGCTATGTTAAGCATTACATGCCGGGCCACAGACTGTGCAATCCGGCCTTCCGCACACACCTTACATATATCTTTATCAACAGATGGGACAATGCAGTCTGCACTTATTTGCACATTGTGCACGGCGCTCTGGGAGAGTTATAAAAATTCAGTCTCAGGACAGTTTTTGAATTTCCGTAGGGTATGTTGATGACGCATGGTCTCAGATTTGAGATAATTTAAACCAACTTTAAAACAAATATATTTGCAGGAGTTACGGTGACTGTAAGTAAATCTGCAAGGTTAACCATACCCCCCCCCTCCTCAGAACTGCTGCTTTAAACAGACAGACACGTGCTATGTGATAGATGGAGCAGAGCTGGGTTTATTGAAATAGACATTAATATAGACCGTGGAAGGCGTGGGGGACAGAGGATGAGAGAGCATGGGACCAGCCAGCGAGTATACACAACCTCGCTAAGGTCACACACGGATCAATCATAGAGTTACATGCATGATATAAGGGTTATGTGATGTGGAGGTTGAACTGTAGGAAAGGATTCTTTTTGGAAATAGAGAATTCTTGAAATACTTAAAGCGTGGTCATTTAATGCAACAATCAGCAACGTAAGGAGTATGATATGAAAACGGCTCTGCAGAATGCCCACATAACAGCATGGCACCATAGAGCATTGTGGACGTTTCTCCCATGATGCTGAGCATTATGGGGTAAGTAGCTCACAAATACCTACAGTGCCATAGCTAGCCACTGCTTCCGCAGGAGCAGAATCAGGAAACCCTGCTTTTACCCACTGTGTTCAGAAAATAAAGTTTTTACTAAACTGGGACTGGGATTTATTCACTAAACCGGGACCAGGCAGAGATAACAGAGCAGCAAACTAGCAGGACTGCGCATGTTCTCCCAAATATCTGATTAAAACTCGCAGTTTCCTCGGTAGATCAGCAGAATTCACCATTTAGTCAACCTCTGGGATTTACTAAAAAATTTAAATTACAAAATGGTAGCAAAACGAAGGCCTGTTGGAATCATCAACGTTGGAAAAGATTCTCCAATCGTGAAATTCTTCAACCTGGCCACGTTTTGCTACCACTTTGCAAAGCACACGTTCTGCTTTAGTGAATATGCCCCATGCTCTTCCATCGGAGGCCACATGGAACACAGTTTAAGAAAAGGAAAGAATATACAATTCCAATGATGCGGATTACAGGATTTTGAAGAATCGGTGAACGCTATACAATTCCCACTTCTTTCATCTCACATTTTCAGACTAATAATTCCTTAAATGGTTTCCGGAAATAAGGGGAAAAAAAAATAAATGAGAATTCATCCTTTTTTCATAATGAATGTGAAAAATGCCTTCCCACCAATAAAGAATCTTTGGAGTTGGTCCTGTTTTAAAACGGGTCAGTTTGACATATTCTAGACGTTTTATCAGATACACAGCTGGTATGGGGGGATGCAGATACATTTCTAGAATCTAGAGGAAAAGAGGAGAGAACTGGCCAAAACAAAGAGATATAGAGGGGAAATTTAGAAAATGAGTGGGAAAGTAGGGACAAAGGTAGCTCGTAGCCTGCTTTAGAAGATACATAGATGCTCAAGCTTAAATTCAGTCTCCAAGCCTACAGGCTGCACCACAAATTCATTCATTCTTGAGTTTTTCATTATTTTTTTTCTCTCCCCAAAAGTAACTTTTTGTGTTTTAGATCAGTTCTAGTCACAAGGACGAATCGGTAATCCTTATTGTTTGCTTCGAGTCTGGCGTTCCTATAAGGAAAGAAAAATAACAGAAACTGTTAAACCACTGGACAAGGAGAGCAAACCTCGCACCGAGCCAAGCACCTTCAGCGTACCCACTAGGCAAACCTTACATGTCCACACTAGTCAGGGCTCCCAGGACGTGGTCAGAGGAATGCTGGCATACTATGAATGTATTCTAGCCATCATGGCCCCACCGTCAACATATAGCCACCGCCAGAGGAGTGCGCAGACATGACACACTTTACACCTGTACGGAGCTGCACAAACCATCAGCAACTTACGTCTCACTTCTAGCTCATCTCTCAATGCATTCTGGGTAACAACAGTGATGTCACTAAAGTGAGAATTGTTGGGAAATCAGTAAATTTCAGGTTTGAGGTCAAAGTAACCGGAGGTTTTGCCTTAATAACCCTGCTCCTGTATAGCTATAAATATAAAAAAATATATAGTGTTTATAGATGTAATAAAAGAACCAAGATGCGTATATGATAAACTCTGGAGTGAATTGTGAATGTTGTTAGACTGACACAGCCACTATCTGGCCATTCAGGTTTCAATTCATATTTAATGGCTAATTCCTAAGAATTTGACGCTTGCTGTGTCATAAACTCCGATTTCTAAGTATCTGAACGTCACAATGTAAACTACAGGATCAAATGCGTAATTCGGCGATTCCAGTCTGGATTTGACTGCGTTTCGGAGTCTGCGCAGTCCTGTACGTGTAACTTTTTTGTGGGGGAGGGGGGAACGGGCAGATTCCTCCAGCTATTACGTTGAAGGGTCATATTCTCAGTCTACAAAGTGTCTCAATGATTCTGGGACTCGGGGGTCACTGTATAATTAGGGAGACGCTTTCAGGGTTGGTCACAGAAGTGAAAATTCTAAGTAAATTTCAAAATTATGGCCAAAGTAGCCGAAGTGGAAGCATAGCTGACAGAGGATTTTTCCATTTTGGCTATAATGACCTTATTTTTGAAATTCATTTTAGTGAATGACTATTTGAAATAACACAGTGAGTTGGTGAGGTTTCTACTTCATATTCTATATGGATTTTACAAGGATTCCCTGCTCGATTACAGGTAACTGAACTACTGAAAGACATGACTGATTCTTTACAGCCGGTTATTAAAAAGAATCTTCATCACAGGGTCAAAGGAACAATATAGGGTCAGAAACACAAATATGTATCCTCACCCTATAGTGTTAAAACCACTATCAAGCCAACCGGGCATACCTAAATATAGTAAAATCTTACCTTTATTCCAGTCAGCTGTTGTTGGCTCTGCCCCTGATCTGCCTGATTGGCTGACATAATCAGAATTGATTCTTTGAGCCAATCACAATGCTTTCACATAGGATTTGCTGAGACTGTCAAGGAGGCAGATCAGGGGCAGAGCCAGCACAAAGCCAACACAATCAGCATCTCCTCATAGAGTTGAATCAATGCATCTCTATGAGGAATGTTTAGTGTCTCCATGCAGAGGGTGGAAACACTGAATGTCAGTCACACTGTGCAGCACTGCCACAGGAAGCACATTTAGCAGCCATTTGAGTGGCCAGTGAAGTTATCCCTAGGCTGTAATGTAAATAGTGCAGTGTTCACTGCAAAAAAGCTTGAAGGTAATGATTCTACTCACCAGAACAAATACAATAAGCTGTAGCTGTTCTGGTGACTATAGTGTCCCTTTAGTATTTACAAGTATTAGCATGGCTGACCACATGCGCATAACACCAAACTAGAACAGCAAATCTGGCGATAGCTATGGTAACGCAGGCAAACACAGGGATCTATTATATAAACTGTGATCTGAGCAGCATTGGAAGCCTGGAATATTCGACATCTCCCCAGCACGTCTCACTATATTCCTTTATTGTAATTTAATGAAATATCCCTGATTAGGAAAAACTGTAAATAATGTGGGGCTTGACAGCATGAAGCAGAAATTCTAAACAAATTATTAAAAAAAAAAAAAAAAACCTACGAAAGCATAAGACTTTCTTTAAACTTCAAGGCT